ACAGTTAGGCGGCCGGGAGCCAGAGGCCACGGAGGGTCCCCCGTTGTAACTCGACCACAGTTAGGCTTGGCCGGGAGCCAGAGGCCACGGAGGGTCCCCCGTTGTGTAACATTTCGACCACAGTTAGGCTTGGCCCGGAGCCAGAGGCCAAGGAGGGTCCCCTTTCATTAATTTTGACCACAGTTAGGCCACAAATGACCGACAGTTAGGCTTGGCCCGGAGCCAGAGGCCAAGGAGGGTCCCCCTTTTCATTTCAGCAGCCTTGGAGCCTTGGAGCCTGCATCTTGACTCTCTTTCGGTGAAAGAGGGTCCCATTTTCTTATTAAGGCAGGTTCTTCACTCAGCATGCCTGGTCGTACCGAGCTGTCTGCAGCGAGGCAGATTCAAGGCCAGAAGCAGCAGTAGAACACAAACGTACATGAGGGCAGGGTGCTTTGAAACTTAAACCTTGTGGCCTTGACGACGATAGGTCGATGTCGATGCGGTCCCTCGCAGCATCGAATCATCCTGGCGACAGCCAAGATCCGCTGCTCATTGATTAAACTTGACTGTCCAACGCAGCACGGGTCCTGACAGCTTCCTTGGCGCTGCGGCCGTGGACCACGCTTGCCCATCTCCCTGCCTGCAAAGAACGACATGTGAACCAGGTTACATGTGGAATTTGGGTGCGTTCACACGGCTCACGACACTGGCGTCTGCTTTTTCGGACAACCCCCGCGCTGAGAATTAAAAGTAAGACTTAATTAATTAGGGATCCCAGCCAGTCTTGCGCCAGACCTTGGAGCCTGGGAACCTGGCAGCCGCGACACGCCCTGCAAACAGCTTGTCACGACGCACTTCACCACTTCGGCAAGATGCAACGCACGACACTGTGCGGAACCGGCTACAACGAGGAAACTCACTGCATCTGACGTTGCATGCAATCTTGCCCCCATGCTCGGATATGCTGCTAACTGAACACACGAAGGCTATGAAAGTCACACCCTACTACTAAACCCTGAAACCCTTTAGCCGACCCTAAACACACGTTAAACAATACGAGCCATAATCAAATAAAAATGGTGGCTCACTCGAGTCATTTCTGATGACAGAGCTCCGGCCACCGGCGCTTTCCGGGGTCTGGAGCACAGCCGACCAACACAAACAGCGCCCATTTACCGGCTCGAAGCACCTTTGTGCAGCAAGTGTGACTTGCAGCGGGACAATTGGCTAAGTCGCTGCGTGTTTTCCACAGCTCGGGCCACTGCTTGCACCACGCTCTCAGTCCGGCCTCCCCCTTGGGCATGAAGGGATTCCCGGTCTCCACCTCAAACACCACGCAAGCATAGGCCCACATATCCACAGCTGCAGTCAGCAGCTGCTTTCTGACACCGCAGTCTCCATCGCCATTCACACGAGCGGGCCACAGCTCCGGAGGTCGATAGGCAGCCGTGACATACTGCAGGAACCTGGGAGCCTGAGAAGCCTTCTGGAGCCGTGCCATGTTCTCACTCATGCCGAAGTCGCACACCTGCACCTGATCTGTGCAAGGGCACCAAAGAACATTGCCAGGTTTCACATCCAAGTGTAGGATGCCTGCGTCATGCAAGGTCTGCAGTGCACTTCTCAGCTGAGCTGCCACAGACCACGTCCTCGGCTTGCCATGCGCCGCAGGATTTCGAAGTGCGGTTGCCAGGCTGGGCCCACATAGGCTAGTAGCCATCCATGGCCAGGGTCTGCCCGTGACACCCGAGCTGACAAGAAGCGGGAACCACATCATCTTCTGCTGCGGAACGGCCTTCATTAGAAGCTTCATCTGTTCCACTTCGTGCCTGCAATCCGCGGGGCCATCGGAGCCACGATAAACCTTCACCGCCACGTTAAGGCCGCTTTGCGGATGCTGGCAACTGTAGACACTGCCATAGGCTCCGCCTCCAATTGGAGCCCTTGCACCATTAAGCTCAAATGGGCCAACGCGACCGCCAGATTCGTCAGCGGCAGGGGGGTCCTTCGCCTCGTCGGGGCCGCCTGCACTGGTCGTGGAGCCCCGCATCTTGATGCCAAGAACGGCCAGTGCACTTCGCTGAGCCATGAACTCATCTTTGCTCCTCGCCATGAATGGTGCCTTCTGCTTGTCGGTCATGCCCTGCCAGACTGCGCCAAGATGCTTCATTTCATTGAGAAACTTGGACTTGGGAGCGCCTTTCTTGACTTTGGAGTTTTCCTGGAACCAGATGACGAAGCCCCTTCGAGCCTTGGGGACCAAGCCGTCTTTCACAGCCTGCTTCCGCAAGCTCTGCGATTTGCTGCCACCATGCTCGCACCGCGAGGGCCGCCGACGAGAAGCCGTCTTGAGACTGGTTTTGCCCCAGAGGCGTCTGGTAGGCCTCCATCGGCAGCCCATGTCGAACCCAAGCAACGAACCTCAGAGCCTGGGAGCCTGGGGCCATAACGGCTCGCTTTAATTATTCAGGCGACTAAACTCAACAACATCCTCGGCGAGTCCAAGCTTTCAATGTCATGCCACATGAAAGAAAAGAGCATTTCGGCTTTTTCAGGCGACAGTAGTCTCTGCTATGACAAACAAAACTGAGCCCGGCGAACAGTCAAGAGCCTGAGAGCCTGGGAGCCTGGGTGCCTGAGCTTGTGCCTGAGCTGGCGGATTCGGTCGAAGTGAAACATCACTGCGGTTGATCGCGGGGGCTATCTGGCTCAGCAGGCGCCTCGTCCTGGTCGTCTTGATTGGACAAGCTCTCCAGAACGGCCGGGAAATGCTTCTTCACCGCCTTGGCATTCTCGTCCGAGTAAAGAGTGGATCCCTCCAAAGCCATCATTCCGCAAGCTGCGCGATCAGCAACCGCCTGGACCCACGACATGTGCTCCTTGTTGAGGCCTCGGATTATAAAATATTATTAAAATGATCTGACGAATCTACTGGACATCTCGATTCGGATTTCTAAGGGTGCGGCAAAGCCCGTGGTAGGCGATGCCGGCAGTCAAAGAAGCCTCCATCAGAGCACCGGTGCCAGCCGTGATGTCAAACACTGCCTCCGCGCAAAACTCCTCAATGATGGCATTCCAAAATGCTATCGGCTTCGACTCGTTCCAGAACAAGGGTACGTCGGAGCCGTGGCGATCCTGCCAGTCCTCTGGCGGTGTCGGGAGGTCGGCGGTTGTTGCCGGAGCAATGATCTTCTTCTTGGTGTCTGCAGACACGAGGGGCATTTCAGAAACCGCACGGTACTCCACGCCTGAGTAAGTGCCTTGGTACGTAGAAGCCTCGCCGCAGACTGTGAAGGAGCCTTTCTTCGTCGTCTGAATCTTTGTGCGTGCGACCGGGAACTTAACCGCTCCTGTCTCCACCTTCTTTGCAGCCAGCGGGACGCGGCGAGTGCGACCAGTTCTCGGTGGGCACCCACCTGAGTACACGATGGTGCACTCCTCGGTGTGCTGCTGGTTCAGCAGGATGTCTTCCTTAAAGAACCAGGTGCAGCCTTTGAGCCTGGGAGCCTGGGAGCCTTGTCACATCACCCCGCCAAGACTCGCTCAAGCGGCGAACTTCCCGCATTCTGCCGTCGAAGAGTACGACGAAATCCTCGGGCCCAGAAATGTCTTTGGCAAAGGCGCAGATCTCTTTCCATTCCTCAGTTGGCGGAGTGCCCTTGAGCCACGGGTCGGTACCAGCCTCTGCCAAGAGATCCGCACTGGCAACGATCAGGCGGTGCGAAGAGTTTAAGGTGCCCTTGTGCGTGAAGACCTTGCCGCAACCTCTGAACGCAGTGACTAGGCAGTCCTTCGAGATCTTGTTCGGTACCGAGAACGACACGAACTTGCGGCGTTCCGTTTGCACCACCTTCCACTGCCGCTCACGCTCGACACATTCCTCGGGTGTGTCAGCTTCAGAAGCCTTGGCCAGGCTTTGGAGCAAGCTCGGAGCAGGAGCCGCTGATGTGGCACCAACGGACTTCGTGCTGTTGTCGAGCTTGTCGACAATGATCTTCATCTGATTGATAAGCGCACATGGCTCCTGGTTCTCCGTGTCATCCGAGCTTCCAAGTTGTGCAGCTGTCAATGCCTTTGCAAGGCCATCTTCACTCGAAGCCAGCATGCAGCAATCCTTGTAGTGCTTCCCCGACATCAGCTCCAGCAGCAAATCCAAAAGCATGCCAATGGCTTTGTTGAAACCCTCTTTAACAGCTCCAATCTTGGACTGCGGAACAGGGCGCTCCACGTCCTCTGGGTCCTCGCCGTCCACGTCGTCCTCTCCAGCAGCCCCTTGATCAGCATCAGCATGGCGGAGATATTTCTCCCAACATGTGGAAGGGCAACGGAGTTCAGCCAAAATCCCTGTCAGCTTAACCTTGTCCGGCTCAGGCAACTTGTTCGCCAGCTTTGCTGCATAATCGAAGACCTCTGTCAGTGTTCAAGCTGCCGATGACTTGCAACACTCAGCAAAAAAATAGTTAAAGACACACGCTAATAACTAGCCACAATGCCTGCATCACAAGCATGCGCGACAACCAAAAGCCAGCATCGCCTGTCTTCCGGTCTCGATCCAAAAACTTCTCGGTGCATTTGGCCGGCGTGACCATGTTCATGCGCAGGGCCAGCGTCAAGGAGTCGATCATCCAGGCCGTCAGGTCTACAGCGTTTCTGGTAGCAGTTGCAAGCTTGTTGGTCAGCGATAACAGCTTGCTCAACTTCGAGTACTGACTGCTCAAGATGCCCCGCCCAAATTCCAGCTCCAATCTCCGGGCAGCCTGCTCCACGGGACCGGATGGACCCCGCAGCACTGCAACAGCTGCTGTGGCAGCCTGGTGTAAGGCCTTGTTGTACAAGGCGTTGTTGTACCTCAAGTTCTGTTCCTCACCATCCTGGACTTTTTCGACCTTGAGCAGCTGGACAGTCCTTGCAAATGTCCAAAAGGTGTCGGACAGGCCAGGGTGCCCGAGTGCCTTCACTTTCTCTGAAGCAAGATTGCGACTCTTCGCAATCTCCCCTGCGCTGGAACACAAGCGAACCTGTATCGTGACAGTGCAGCCACACTCCCACAAAAGCTCCAAAGCTGCTTTGTCCTGCCAAGTGCAAGCACACATCAGTCAGACTCATCAACATGTCATGTCATGTGAACACAAGCAGCAACTGTCCTGGGAGACTAGGGCTTTGAAGACGGCCAAGTACCAAGCCCACAACACAAACACGCCGCTAGCAAGATGCAACGAGCTGTTGAACTCTTCGTGCATCACGTCAGATGCTGACTCTGTGAGGACAATCATCTCACACGGCCACGTCAGCCGGCTTCGTGACGTTTTTTGCTTCTTCTGCTTGGCCTCACGCATTACAACTGTGCTGAAAGCAACTTTCTTGGAGAAGAAAGCGTCTTCGAAAGTTTGGAGATCCTGCCAGCACACATCGTCAGACACATTGGCAAAAGCTTCGGTGGCCAGCCACAGTGCGAGGCCACTGGCTTCGTAAAGTCCAGATGATGTCAGGGACGCTTGGCAGTCATCTTTGCTCCACACAGCCTGACAAACGACAACGGTCAAACAATAAATGACATTGATCGACATGCGCCCGCCTTGTATCCGGTCAAATCCCCCGTCTTGGCTTCTGCGTTGATGGCAAGCGGCGGTGTCTTGAACATCTGCTTGGCCTGCGGAAACTTCACAGGGAGCTGGTTGCGGACCTCGGGCAGGCACGGCATGCAGCACTGTTAGACGCGAGACGGGACACGGTATCAAAAACTCAGCGAAGGGCCCATGGCACGATGTTTGCCAGGGCTTCTTGAGCACTGGCCTGCTTCACATGGCGTGCCACACATCATCATCATCATCATCACACACGTCATACACAATGCTCCGAAAATGCTGAGCTCAGAACGGTTGGGTCTGTCGGCAAATCCGGCACTTTTGCCATTCAGCGCGAGCACAGAAGCCTTGGAACCTGGGAGCCGAGTAGCCTTCCACGGAACCGTTTAGTCTTGCGGTGCAGCGCAAGGCAATAAGACTGCTGCAGTGCAGGACATGCTGCAAACAAACACAAACTGACGTCGACAGCGGTCCTTTGTAGTCGTGTGCCCTGCCACAGTTTGTCGACGAGCGGCTTGAGCTTTACATGTCAAATCAAGTTGGCAGCAAAGTAAGGAAGCATCAAAATCCTATGCTGCTGATGAATCAGTCATCTAAATATTAAACATGACACCAAGCCGGCCCCACATGGACCTTGGAGCCTGGGAGCCTAGGAGCCTGAGAGACGCCTCAGCTGGGAATCAAGGGCAGCGAGGGCACCAAGCCGGCCCCACATGGACCTTGGAGCCTGGGAGCCTAGGAGCCTGAGAGACGCCTCAGCTGGGAATCAACGGCAGCGAGGGCATCCTGGTCGCGGCGGAGCTGCTTGTTGGAGTCCGCGACCTGTTCCTTCAAGCGACGTTTGTGCTCGGTCAGCTTTGCGCGCTGAGCCGACAGGAGAATCTCTGAGTGGTTCTTCGTGTCGCTCGTGCTCACGATGACCATCTCGATTCCGGACCTGCGTACCTTCAACCTGCCGGTGCGGATCCGCTCGGCCAGGTCATTGCCCTTGAGCATCCATGAAGTACCCCATCGGATGGAGAACCGGCGGTGCCTGGTTGATGACGCCCTCGCAGCTGAACTCGAGCATGTCCATTTCCAGCTGCTTCAGGGCGAAAAAGCCCAACGTGGCAGCTGCGTGCGTGGACGACGACACCGGGAACAAGGATGCACCGGGATCCGGCAGGAAAGGATCCCCCGGCGCGGCGAACACGTGGTTCCGGGCCAAGAAGTTCACGAGGGCGGATGTGTCCTCCTTGCTGATGTCGAAGCCGCCGCCGCCGCCTTCCTCCGACTTGACCGCCGTGTAGCACATGAAGCCCAAACCCCCGCCAAGGTCGGGCCCGGGTGCAATGGTCTGCCAGGCACGGTTGGTCGTAGGCTGCACCATTACATGCCTTGATCGGACGCAATGCCCGGGACCCCTAAACCCCTAAACCCCTGAAACCTTGAACCCCTGAACCTCTGAACCTCTGAACCCCTGAGCCTATATAATTTTAATAGTAATAATTTAATAAATGAAAAGACTACCTGGCGTCCGATGTACTCGAACTCAAGTTTCCAGTTCGCCTCGTCCTGGAATGGCAGCTCCTGGCAAGGATCCAAGAACAGCGGAACATAGTAGCCGCCATCCTCCACCACAATCTCTCTTGCAGAGCACGCTTCAGCCAGATTTTTCTTGGTGAACAGCGTGAGAACCACGAAATGGGTCTCCCCAATGGCTTCTGTCAGCTGGCGGCGCGATGAGCGAAGCTTCGCCTTCACAGGCTTGTCTGCAACAGACGGGGCCGCCCCCAACTTGCGCATGGCTTCCTTGCGCTGCCATGTGATGGCGTCCAGTTTCGTCTGCAGAAACAAGGCACGGAAGCCGATCTCCGGTGACTCGTAAAAGGAATCCTTCTCAAACTCGGAAGCCGCCTCCAAACTCTTCTCGTAGTCACTTGCCCTCAGCGCACAGTAGCCGATACGCGACCAAGATCTCTGAGTCTCTATCACTGGGTTCTCCTCCGGCTCGGCGATGTTGATGATGGTGGGTGCCACATCTGCGGCGGCTGCTTCAGGACCGGCTGCGGCCATTTTCGCAGGCGGCATTGGGACCTAGGAGCCTATGTGAGCCACGGAGCCTTGGAGCCTGTTGCCGCAGAAGCCTCGTATCAGATGCTGATAGTGACATGGCAAGACTGACACAACACACTGTCGCATGCAACTGTCATGTTCTGACAACTCAGCCACACAGCCAACCATGACTGAAATGAAACGACTTTGGGCCTGCCCCTCGACGTCCAGCTTGTCGACGACAACAGCCTCAGACAATGCAGTGACATGTGCATTGAAGGGTCATTTCCGTGCATTGAAGGGTCATTCGTGTGCATTGAAGGGTGACAGGTGCTTCTTTCATCTATTAAGACACTGCTAAGGTGACCCTTGGATGCACTCAAAACACCCTTGGATGCATGGAACAAGAGCTGCCGCGACCCTTGGATGCATCCAAAACACCCTTGGATGTAGCGCCGCGGCGATTGGCGCGAATCCTGCCTGTATTGAAATGAAAGAGAGGAAGGCTATTGCAAGGGACAAATGGAACGTCAATACACCAGGGATTGGCACCAATCCATGGTGTATTGCATCCTACCATTGTCCTGCAATTAAACAACTGCAGGGGAAGTGAATTGCAAGGCCGTTTTGTCCTGCCAATACGCCACGGATTGGCACCAATCTGCAGTGTATTGAGCAGGGGCTTGCAACAGGCTCTGTTGCAGGCACCTGCTGCCCCAGACAAGGTTAACCCTGCCTTGCGACACAGGCCCCCTGTACATTCCTGTGCGAACGACTAGACTTAAAATGATTGGACCCCAGGAAAATTCCTGCCTGCGAACCTGGGAGCCAAGGAGCCAAGGAGCCAAAGAGCACTGTCATTAACTGCTGCAGTACAGGACTATGACGCACGAACTTTCTTGGGTTTCTTGGGGGGCAAATGCCTCATCTGTACACCAGCACCGGACAATGTCCGCTTCTGGGACAACCCGCGGACGTTGCGGAGGAAATTCCAGATATCGGCCTCTCCATTGATCTTGTAGGTGGTGCGCCTCTTGGTAGCAAATTGAGTGGGCAGTGGTGTGCCGATAGCAACACGCCACTTCGACTGGGGCAACTTCTCACAGAATCGCAGGGCCTCGACGATGGCACGGGTACTGACTGATTGAACTTAAATGAACCCAAACCCAACCCTAGACAATAAACCCTTCAACCCGAAACCCTTGAACCTCAGTGTCTGTGCCACCGAGCAACAGTTGAAAGCTCTTGGCGATCTCAAGGCCGACCAGCCTCGAAGTTGCAGCTGTGTTGAAGGACAAGAACGACTTCTCAGCATCAATCGTCGGTTTGTCCAAGTATGCCAGAATCGCCTCCCTGGAGGCAAGCACTTTGCCACAGCCGTACGCAATGATCAAGGCAGGAACCTGGGATGAAACACGTCAACATGCATCAGCAGTGACGATCTAAGCCTGGCATCATCCGACTTAATTTAATAAAATTAAAATACATTCAGCTTGGGACCAGTCGGTTGCAGCGGACCGTCTCCACATCGGACAGTTGTTCGAGGACCAGGATATCGGCGGCTTCATACTCGTACGGTCCAAGAATCTGGAAATGCTTGTTGCCTTGCAGCGACTTGCTGTCCGTGTAGCGACGATAGACCGGACATAGCTTCAGAGCTCGTTTGCAGAGGATGCTTTGCAAGACGGATGACCGGTCGTGGTCGTGCTGCACCATGCGCAAACCGCCAAGCCGTGCCGCCGTTGTTGTGTAAGCAATCTTGCCAGAAGATCGTCTCCGCGCTTCCTCTTGGTGACCTTGGCTGGATGACAATGACAGTGTATGGCACTTGAAATGACTTTGCACGGAAAGCAACCGTTGTGCTGCTGAGTCACCGTCATATTTCTGCTGTGTGCGCACGGAAATTCTCCAAATGCTTGTGGGCATCCGTTGTGGGGCGGGCGAAAGCCCCACGTGTGCCAGCAACACTGTTCTGGGCAGAGACAGACGCTGCCGGCAAAGGCAGGCTCAAGCCCGGCACGAAAGAGGCCGGCTTCCACGACCTGCCTTTCGAAGCAGCTGCCTCTGCTCTCTTCGCTGCCTCGGCGGCGGCTGCTTCACGGCCTCTGACAATTGCAGCCAGAGTTCCAGAACGTGCCTGGCGTGGCTTGCTGGGCCCCTGCTTGCGTTCTTTGTTGTAGGTCATGCGGAACCGACGCCCAAAGTGACGAATCCACAGTTCACCACAAAGAACCCCGAAGTCAGTTGGGGTCAGCACGGCACCTTCACTCTCCGGCTTCCGGAAAAAATCTTCCTCTCGCTGGGGACCTTCAACTGCCACCTCGATGATGGAGGCAATGGTTGAGCCATTTGGAGTGAGGGGTCCGGAATGCGCCTCCAGCTGTGTGAGCAAGTGTCCC